TGGTGGAAAGATCTTTGCACCTGGCACTCTTTTAGGCACTGTGGCAGGCACCAGAGCTTCCCGCTCATCCCTAAGTTCAGTAATGAGGAAGCTATAACCAGGAATCACGGTGCCCAGGAATCGCCACACTTTTTTCATCACCAATGTTTCCAAACAAAGCCTGGTTCCCTAGAGAAAACACAAAATATCAACAATTCTCTCCTCATAATATTGTTAAATACATTTGTCTTTTCCAAAATTAGTACGAGTTTGTTGTAAAAATTTACAAAACTTAAAAAATTGGAAACAGCTGTTGTTTTCTTACCCAGCATAAAACTGCTAGTAATTTTACAGTCTATTTTCTCAGTTTATGTGTTTTAAATAAAAATTGGGTTGTACTGTATATTTGGATCATACAGTGTATAGTATTTTATAAGTATTGTATTCCTTAACTCTGCATTAAGACAAGTTCATTATGTCATTTTCTTAAAAATCCTGACTTCATTCTATTCTACCATATGGATGTATCACCACCAATTTAACCAGTTTCCTATTGTTGTACATTAAGTGGTTTCTAACTGATTGTTCTAACAATCCTGCGGGGAACACCCTCATACACAGGCTGGCATTTGGCTCACATGTATGCATCAGTGTGAGGAAAGTGGCTGTTGACAAACAGCGACTCTTCTATCAGGTAGGTGTTCACGCTGACTGATAGGCCCTATGCCGCTGTGGTTGTTTAAATCTTTGAATATCAACCCTGCTTCTTCCTAATGGTTAGTGTTTAGTTAAGGTTATTTTATTAGGATAAATTCATTCAAGTGGAACTACTAGAACAAAGGGATGAATATATCCAGAGTTTATAAAATATATTGCCAAGCTACCTTCCGGTCAGATTCTCCCAACCTATACTCAAAGAGCTGTTCTCATTAACACTAGCTGGCCTTATGTTTTCAATCTTAGCCAATTCTCATTAGATTTTATTTTATGATCTTAACATCCTGTACGTCTCAGAACTTCCATAACTCCAAATGATTAGTTCCTCAAATGACAGATTCCATATTACTCTTCTTTGCCACACTGCCTTTCATTCTGAATAAAACTGACAACTTAAATACCTTACATCCAAAGTTTTCTGTTCCTTGTTGCTCCTTTACAACTAAAGGAACCCTTAAAACTATCATTCCCTTTATCATTTGGAAGATTATATAAATTTACTCCATTTAATAAAAATTTTTATTTGAAATTAATCTATTGGGCCATACAGAGATGCTGAATTAAAAACTGAGAAGAACAAACTGAAATATTTGTAGTATTAGGAAGTTAGGTGATATGACACTCTTTTAGTAGATATCCTCCCATGAAGGTATTTAGTCTGAAATGTTTTAAGTTTAACATTGCAAAGTGATTAAAACCAATTACTAACCTTTTTATCAACTGCAAAATTTGGTTCAAAATAGTTTAATCAAAAATAAATCTCAATGCATGTATTATTAGCATTCAAATATAACCCACTTATGAGAGAAGTGACGCAAATCACTTCTACCTGTATTATGACTGCTTTTTTCTCTTGGAGGACCAGTCAACCAGGTAGCATCAGCGGGGAAAAGGGTTTCCAATCTTAATGGCACCTGTTTAAAGAAAATGTTAGAAATAAATAGAGTTTCAAGCACCACTCTTTCGGTCTGTAAAGTGCTCGGGGAAGGGACATAGTTTGATAAAAATGACGAAGAGGGCCATGATGACGCCAGCATTACCGTGGGTGAGAGGGCTTTCCATCCTATGAGTCTCTTCATCTCTAGGAAGTTAGCAGGGCCCCAGTGTTATTCACAGTGGGACCGTAACCTGGAAAACGCCACAGGGAAAAAGCAAAACCAATGACAACCACCTACTGTTCCCACGGGTCCACACCCTTCCTTCTTCACATCAAGACCCACCTCCCGTGCGCACGGGTCCCTGGTAATTATGGACAGGCCAGGCCTTCCCCCACCCCAACTGCTGGCTAGTGCTGTTGACTTTAAATCTCTCTTCCCTTCCCATTTGTTCCTGTGGGTCACCACTTCTTCGCGATGGCACTGTGCCTGAGCGTTTTTGGTTAAAGTGAGTGTGTCTGCCCCGCCTCGCAGACCCCAGGCCCCGTAAGGGGGAGGACATGCTCTCTGCCTCTTCACAGCCGCAGCGCTAGCGTGTGCCGGGACACAGCATGCTAAGCAAGCAACCGAGTCAGCGTGGCCTGTTTATTTATTATGAATGAACAGGAGCAAGTCCTCTCTACTCAGTTAAAGCGAGCTATGAGAATCTGAAAGTTTTGTTGCTTCATGATGTATATGTTGTTTTTAAAGCCCAAAATGAAAGAAAATGGGCACCTCAGAACTGAAATATATACAGGGTGTCCCTCCACGGTGTATATATACTTTGCATGATTATAAAGGCAGTGTTTATTAAAATCCATTTCATTTTCAAAATATAATAGAAATCAGCTGTTAAAAGTGTGTATATATTTTTGGGGGGACACCCTATATTATGGTATAAGAAAAAAAAGAGAGGCATCTTTAGTATAGAATAAAAATAAAATAAAAAACAGCAGTACCGCAAATAAACATGTCTGTTCTAATAAAACAGGGGCTCAAACAAAATGAAACAAAATGTCCCTTCCATCGCTGAGGGGAAAGACCTGCTGGAGGAGGGAAAACTCTGCTCGGTATCCCTTGTAAAGGTCTATACACATTAATGGGTGCCCAGAACAGTGCCTGACACAACAAATATTTGCCAAATAAGTGAATAGTATCGTCAAGAAACTCAATCTATGGAAATAAATGGTCAGATTGAAGCCTGAAGAACAAAGTAATTAGCTGGAAAACCCGGAGAGAAATTTTTCTAGAAGGCATTGGGGTAGAAAAACGGGAATGAAAAATATAATACTCATGCCCTGGCCAGTTTGGCTCAGTGGTTAGAGTGTCGGTCTTTGGACTGAAGGGTCCGGGTTTGATTCTGGCCAAGGGCACGCACCTCGGTTGCAGGCTCGGTCCCCAGCCCCGGTCTGGGTGCGTGCCGGAGGCAACCAAACCAATCCATGTGCCTCTCTCACATCGATGTCTCTCTCGCTTCCACTCCCTCTGAAAAAATATCCTCAGGTGAGGATTAAAAAAGAAGAAAAAAATATCCTCAGTAAAATTAAAAATTAGTAAATGCAGGAGGTTGGATAAAGTAGAAAGAAGAGCGCAGCCCAGGGAGGCCCGCTGTCAGTATCGCAGCGAGTTTAGGACATCTCTCTGGGACACACAGCCCAGGCCCTAGAAGAGAAGGGGGCGGCTGCCAAACTCATTTTATGATTGAACAACTTTTATGCCAACACCAGATACAGACAGTTCCAGAAAAGAAAATTATAGGCTCATTTCAGTTCCACTCACAGTCGTAAAGTACAGAATAAGTTATTAGTTAGCCAGACTCAACAGTGTATTAGAAAATAAAACATCACAATCAAGTAGGGTTTATTCTAGGAATGCAAGAATGTTCCACGATGGTCGAGTTACAAGTCTAGAGGCAGGAAGACTCTGGTCATAACTTTTCTCTGCCAGACAAGTTCCTTACCCTCAGAAAAAGAAACCTCTGCTTCAACACATCCAGAAGTTTGCAGTGAGCACAGTTAACCAGCATCCTCTCCAGCATGGGAGAGGAGGCCTCCCTCATGACAGGCCCGGGGCACATGCGCACAAGCAACCCCCAGGACCGCGAGCTGCTGCTCTGACCCTCCTGAGCACGAGCGTTTTCCTAGGTCTTGATCGAAGAGGGGAAAGGTTTGCCGTTCCAGAAGGGGGAGGCCTGGTTACCACCAACGGAACAAGGCTGGCCATCACCAGGTATTTTTCTATGTTCCTCACGGTTTATAAAGGTGTGCCAATTATGCTAATATCTTTTAACTAGAATGTAACAATAAAAAATATGCATGAGAATAGCCCTGTTTTGAATATGGAACTAACCAAAATTTACTCATAAAACCTAACTAAGCAACTCTTCACAGGCAATGACTGTTGTCTGAATTCTATGCTTTTCCCCACAGATACCGAAACGGCGTGGACACACAGTGCCAATGAGTGCGGGTTAAAGCTGAGGTGAGGTGGAGGGTGAAGCTGGCTGTGTCTATGAGCAGGACAGCAGCCACCTTAATAGGAGGTTTAAATGCATAGGTCTTACTGAAAAGGCTGAGGTCAAGGTCTTCCACCCAAGCAAGCATTTGAAGATATAAGGTCTACTTAACAGATGTTGTAGTGTAATTTTTTTTTTCACATGGAAAAAGTACCATTCTACTGCGAATAGAGCCGGCAATCATTCCCTTGCTTTCAGAATCAATCTTTGCGTGGCCATCCGACTAATCTGCAATGGGTTGGCAGGGAGGAGCACATATGAACTGAAAGAAAGGTATAGGAGGATCCTCACAGGGTTGTTTACATTTATCATTGGAGCAGGAACAGGAAGAAGAAAAGGCTGGGAGGTGGAGGCTGGCAGGGCAGGAGCAGGCAGGGCAGGAGCAGGCAGGGCAGGAGCAGGCGGGGCAGGAGCAGGCGGGGCAGGAGCAGGCGGGGGAGGAGCAGGCAGGGGAGGAGCAGGCGGGGCAGGAGCAGGCAGGGCAGGAGCAGGCAGGGGAGGAGCAGGCAGGGGAAGGAGCAGGCAGAGCAGGAGCAGGCAGAGCAGGAGCAGGCGGGGGAGGAGCAGGCAGGGGAGGAGCAGGCAGGGCAGGAGCAGGCGGGGGAGGAGCAGGCAGGGCAGGAGCAGGCAGGGCAGGAGCAGGCAGGGGAGGAGCAGGCAGGGCAGGAGCAGGCAGGGGAGGAGCTGGCAGGCAGGGGAGCATTGCTGGGTAGCTGTGGGCGTTGGGACCGGCTCGAACTCCACGGTAGGCAGAAGTTCTAAAGACACTGGGTGGCGTTTACCAGCCGCCCGCCTCAGTGCTCAGGACATCACCTGTCACTCAGTATTTGCCCCTCACACCAGCAGGGTTGGGGAGTGGTGGATAAACCCAAGCGCTAAGCCGAGGGACAAGCTGCACCCTGTCCCCCCTCCTGGGCCACGGCTGCGCACTGGGAGCTGCAGGGGAGAAGGCCTGACGTTGACCGGCCGTGGGGTGCGCACTGCCTTGAGGCGGAAGGAGGGATGTTGTCCCCCCCAGCCTTGCCCACCAGCCCCAGCTCTGTCCCCTCCCGTCCAGCGCAGAGCCGCGCAGTGGGCCCAGGGCTCCCATTTTCACTGTCCCACGTCCTCTCCTCTCCACAGGCTGCGCCGACGTTTCCTGTTCCCCACCCGTGGACGCGCTGCCAGGCTGGAAAATGGTTTTCTTCTTTGGGGATGGTCCTAAGGAACAGCAGGGCCAGGTCTGAGCTGCTCGACCCTGTCCCGACCACAGCTGACCCATCTCGGTAACCATCTGCTTCAGGCTCCAGCCGGTTCTCGCTGCGGATTTTTAACTCGAACTGGAGACCCAGGGATGGAAGTGGTGGCGGGGTGGGGCTTAGGCACACAGTGGCAGTGTGTGAAAATGTCAGGCCAGGAACACCTGCCCCTGCAGCCTGGGGCTGCCTGGGGCATACAGGGTCACGGGCCCGCTGAGTGTGACCTGAATGCGGGGGGCTGGAAGCGGAGGGTGGATGCTGAAAGAGGGATATTGGTTCTTCAGGTTTGAATGGATGTTTCTGTGGTGCAGAGAAACTCGAATTTCAAAATTATTGGTCTAGACAAAATAGTCTTGGCCAGAGCTACTTTGTGACCTTCGGAATGGCGCTTTCGCTGCCTGTGTCCCCAAGCTGAGACGAGGAAAAGCTGCTACAGAACCGATGTGTGGGTTTCCCAGGTAGGCTGCTCGCTGAGGTCACAGCCCAAGTAGGTTTCTTCGATGAACATCTAAGTGGCAGATTACATGTCCAAAGGTGGCTGCAACAATTCCTCCTGACCCTTAGGCTCTTGCAATGCAGTCTTGCCACTCAAAAGAGATGCCTGTGTATTTCTCTTCCCTTCACACCTGGGCTGGCCCTGGGACCACCTTGACCAATAGAATGAAGCAGGAGTGACATTCTGAGACCTCATAGTCTAAGTATTAAAGAAAACCCGGCAGCTCCCATTTTTGTGTTTTGGAAGCCAACCTCCACCTAAGAAGCGCAGTTACTATGATACCACAAGTCTGTGAGTTAAGCCTGAGCCACCTCTGTGGGGAGACAGACACCCGGCCAGCCCCCAGCTGTTCCAGCCAAACCAGCTGGGGAGCCTGGTAGGGAGTTAGGAAATCGCCTTGGGCATTCCAGCCCCAGCATGCAAAGGATCCTGGCCTTGCTGAGGGGGGTTGTTTCTGGTATTCTGTTGCGTTGGCCTTCAGTGAACCTCCCCTCTGGATATTTGTGAGCATGCATAGTCCTCTTACCTTGAATGTGGGCTAGACATCCTTTAGCCAGTGGAGGAAATTGTGCCGGCACTAGGCCTAAGGGTGGCAGCTTCCCCTTTTGCATCCTTAGGAGCCTTGAGTGGTCATATAAGGGCTCCATATGACCTGGTAGAGAAGCTACATAGAGAGGCCATGTGGGGAGGTCTTTTGAAAAGGGAGAGCCCTTTTCAAAGGGACCACATAGAGAGAGAAAAGCTCAGACACCAGGAGCTCAGCTGAGCCCAGTCCCCAGCCAACCTGCCCGCTGAAGGCCATGCACAAATGACCAGTGGCAAGACCAGCAGAACCACCCAGCTAAGCCCCGCCCAGACTATACCACCTTGAGTGAATAAAATGGTTGTTGTTTTAAGCCACTAAATTGTGGAGTTGTTCACAGGGCAATAGACAATGAAGCAACCAGGTAAGAGTGGGATCCTGAAACTTGACGTTTAGAATGAGAGTGACATTTACATCCCTGTCCCACGGGTACTGGGCGTGGCCACGTGATTTGATTTGGCTAATGGACCACGAGTAGGCATGACATGCATCCCTTGCTTTAGACAGTTCAGATGGTTTGGCTGGGTCTCTGGTGTCTGGTCCTGTGCCATGAGAAGAGCTGCCAGGTGAGTCCTGCTCTTCAGCCTGTGTTCCAGAGGACAAACATAGGACAGACCTGCCTTGAGCAGAACCACCAAGGCCAATCCACAGACCGGTGAGCAAGAACCGCATGTTTATGGTCATAGGCCACTGTGAGCTGAGATTCGAGGGTTGCTGCTGCTGTGAAAACTGACTAAATGCTCAGCCAACCAAATAGCATCTAAATTCTTCCTTCAGCGAAATCTTGGCCACTTCCCCATGTGTCCCCCTCTGAGTCAAATGGTGGATTCTGACTCAAAATAAACTGGAGGATGTTAAGCATATTCAGAATAGAAAAGTTATGCCAGAGAATTGCAAGTTATAGAGATGTGTTCTTTTTTTTTTGTAAAATCTTGGGAAATTTTTATGGGCTGGGAGTTTTGAGATGTTTGATCAAAGACTGAAGAACATGTTGCCCAGCTGGCGTGGCTCAGTAGTTGAGCACTGACCTAGGATCCAGGAGATCTCGATTGGATTCCTGGTCAGGGCACATGCCCAGGTTGCAGGCTTGATCCCCAGTGGGGGGGGGGGGGCAAGAGGCAGCCGATCAATGA